GCGTGACACTGGAGCTTAGGACTCGCGGTAACAAACTGAGCACAGCACCTGCTGCAAGCAGGACATACGGGCTTCCACCCTAGCAACAGGCAGAACAAGTCTAGCTAAACAGTTGGGCTTCCACGCTCCTCACGAGTAACAACGTTAACACACACATCAGGGAGGTTTTATAAGGTCTTCCGGAATTCGCCGCCGGGGATTTTTTGCCTTCTCGTTTAGGTAGAAAATGATTCAAAATTTGAATATTTTGTCAGAATAACCCTCTTTAAAGTCCAATTTAATGATGATAAACAGAATAATTTGTATGAAATGATAAAAGAAATTAAAGAAGAGATGATCAAAAAAATGATGTTGGGTAAAAGTGGATTAAGTGTAGCTAAACTTGAGAATTTAATACTTAATTAGATGACTTTGAATGGATTGAGAATGTTGAACTCTAAACAACCTTATTTCATAGAAAATTTTTTTTATTTCTTTGCATTCAATAAAAATTCAAGTTCAATTATTCAAGAAAAGGCATACAAAATTACCTAGGTCATTCTCCCAATTGTCAACCTAATAAATTAGGAAGATCAACTTCAATTACATTAAAACATAGAAAAAATAAATCATTTGACAATTTAGAAAAATCCAAGAAATTCTGTTTATTATTTTAATAAAGGTAAAATTAAGGATAGATGATTATTAGGTATTGCTCTAGAGTAAATGAAACAAATTAGAAGAAGCTTTAGAAAATTATGATTTAGCAATTTAGAAAAATCCAGATAATCCAACATATTATGCTTTTAAAGGTATAATTTTTTATGAATTTTAGCTTAAACTCTAGATAAAATGAACAGATTAGAAGTGGCTTTGTAAAATTATAATTCAGCTATTTAGAAAAATCAAGAATATTCTAGGTATTATTTTAATAAAGGTATAATAAAATTTAACGATTTCTTAGCTATTACTCTAGATAAAATGAACAGATTAGAAGAGGCTTTATAAAATTATAATTCAGCTATTTAGAAAAATCAAGAATATTCTAGGTATTATTTTAATAAAGGTATAATAAAATTTAACGATTTCTTAGCTATTACTCTAGATAAAATGAACAGATTAGAAGAAGCTTTATAAAATTATGATTCAGCTATTTAGAAAAATCAAGAATATTCTAGGTATTATTTTAATAAAGGTTAATTAATAAAATTTAATCGATTTCTTAGCTATTACTCTAGATAAAACGAACAGATTTGAAGAAGCCTTGGTAAATTATGATTCAGCAATATAAATAAACCCAGAAAATTCTAAGTTATTACAATAACAAAGGTATATTTTATAATGGATTCTATTTTTAGCTATTACTCTAAAAAAGATCAACAGATTTGAAGAAGCTTTGGTAAATTATGATTTAGCAATATAAAAAAACCCAGAAAATTCAAGTTATTACTATTATAAAGGTAAATTTAAAAACGAATTCTATTTTTAGCTATTACTCTAAATAAAATGAACAGATTTGAAGAAGCTTTGGTATATTATGATTCAGCAATATAAATAAACCCAGAAAATTCAAGTTATTACAATAACAAAGGTATATTTTATAATGGATTCTATTTTTAGCTATTACTCTAGATAAAATGAATAGATTTGAAGATTCTTTGGTATATTATGATTTAGCAATATAAAAAAACCCAGAGGATTCTGACTATTACAAAAACAAAGGTAAATTTAAAAATGAATTCCATTTTTAGCTGATACATTAGATAAAACGAACAGATTTGAAGAAGCTTTGGTAAAATATGATTTAGCAATATAAATAAACCCAGAAAATTCAAGTTATTACAATAACAAAGGTATATTTTATAATGGATTCTATTTTTAGCTATTACTCTAGATAAAATGAACAGATTTGAAGAAGCTTTGGTAAATTATGATTTAGCAATATAAAAAAATCCAGAAAATTCAAGTTATTACAATAACAAAGGTATATTTTATAATGGATTCTATTTTTAGCTATTACTCTAGATAAAATGAATAGATTTGAAGATTCTTTGGTATATTATGATTCAGCAATATAAAAAAACCCAGAAAATTCTGACTATTACAGTAACAAAGGTATATTTAAAAATGGATAATCTTTATAGCTTATACATTAGATAAAACGAACAAATTTGAAGAAGCTTTGGTAAATTATGATTCAGCAATATAAATAAACCCAGAAAATTCAAGTTATTACTATAATAAAGGTAAATTTAAAAACGAATTCTATTTTTAGCTATTACTCTAGATAAAATGAATAGATTTGAAGATTCTTTGGTATATTATGATTCAGCAATATAAAAAAACCCAGAGGATTCTGACTATTACAAAAACAAAGGTAAATTTAAAAATGAATTCCATTTTTAGCTGATACATTAGATAAAATGAACAGATTTGAAGAAGCTTTGGTAAATTATGATTTAGCAATATAAATAAACCCAGAAAATTCAAGTTATTACAATAACAAAGGTATATTTTATAATGGATTCTATTTTTAGCTATTACTCTAAAAAAGATCAACAGATTTGAAGAAGCTTTGGTAAATTATGATTTAGCAATATAAAAAAATCCAGAGGATTCTGACTATTACTATAATACAGGTAAATTTAAAAACGAATTCTATTTTTAGCTATTACTCTAGATAAAATGAACAGATTTGAAGAAGCTTTGGTAAATTATGATTCAGCAATATAAATAAACCCAGAAAATTCAAGTTATTACTATAATAAAGGTTAATTTAAAAATGAATTCCATTTTTAGCTGATACATTAGATAAAACGAACAGATTTGAAGAAGCTTTGGTAAATTATGATTCAGCAATATAAATAAACCCAGAAAATTCAAGTTATTACTATAATAAAGGTTAATTTAAAAATGAATTCTATTTTTAGCTATTACTCTAAAAAAGATCAACAAATTTGAAGAAGCTTTGGTAAATTATGATTTAGCAATATAAAAAAATCCAGAGGATTCTGACTATTACTTTAACAAAGGTATATTTTAAAATGAATTCTATTTTTAGCTATTACTCTAAAAAAGATCAACAAATTTGAAGAAGCTTTGGTAAATTATGATTTAGCAATATAAAAAAATCCAGAGGATTCTGACTATTACTTTAACAAAGGTATATTTTAAAATGGATTCTATTTTTAGCTAATATTCTAGATAAAATGAACAGATTTGAAGAAGCTTTGGTATATTATGATTCAGCAATATAAAAAAACCCAGAAGATTCAAGTTATTACAATAACAAAGGTAAATTTAAAAATGAATTCTATTTTTAGCTATTACTCTAGATAAAATGAATAGATTTGAAGATTCTTTGGTATATTATGATTCAGCAATATAAATAAACCCAGAAAATTCAAGTTATTACTATAATAAAGGTTAATTTAAAAATGAATTCTATTTTTAGCTATTACTCTAAAAAAGATCAACAAATTTGAAGAAGCTTTGGTAAATTATGATTTAGCAATATAAAAAAATCCAGAGGATTCTGACTATTACTTTAACAAAGGTATATTTTAAAATGGATTCTATTTTTAGCTAATATTCTAGATAAAATGAACAGATTTGAAGAAGCTTTGGTATATTATGATTCAGCAATATAAAAAAACCCAGAAGATTCAAGTTATTACAATAACAAAGGTAAATTTAAAAATGAATTCTATTTTTAGCTATTACTCTAGATAAAATGAACAGATTTGAAGAAGCTTTGGTAAATTATGATTTAGCAATATAAAAAAACCCAGAAAATTCAAGTTATTACTATAATACAGGTTAATTTAAAAATGAATTCTATTTTTAGCTATTACTCTAAAAAAGATCAACAAATTTGAAGAAGCTTTGGTAAATTATGATTTAGCAATATAAAAAAATCCAGAGGATTCTGACTATTACTTTAACAAAGGTATATTTTAAAATGAATTCTATTTTTAGCTATTACTCTAAAGTAAATGAGCAGATTTTAAGATGCTTTAGAAAATTATAATTTAGCAATATTAAAAAACCCAGAAGATTCAGGATATTACAATAACAAAGGTATATTTCTAATTTGATAATATTTCTAGCTTTTGAATTCACTTTGAAATGATTTAGTAGTTTCCAAATTTACATTTATATTTTTAAATTATTATTATTATGCTATAAATGTCTCAAACAATTTATACACTTTATATTTTTATAGGCTTCTAATATACATATCTACTCTTATATCTCAGACTAATTTTAAAGAAAATTTTTAAAATAGAAATTCAATATTCAACACTAAAAATATGCAGTACTTTTTAGAAACAAATTATGATCCTTCAGTTTAGGATTCTTTATTTTAGATTCCAGAAATTTTTTAAGTAAATAAAATTGTATCAAAATTAACAAAAGAGCTGAACCATCTAATTTTTCAAACAATCACTTTATGTAAATTTAATTAACACAATCTAATTTTAAATACAAAAAACTAATTTTATCTTTAAGTTTTCTGATATACGCTCTTGAAATATAATCTCGAAATTCGATATTTTAATTGTTAATTTATTAATCTCATCAATAGCACCATTAAAATGTAGTCTAAATTTCATTTGAAATACTTATTTAAATTCATTATATATTTAATTTGTGAAAATCAATAACTTTGGTAGCTATAAAAACTTCAACAGAACTCATCCATAATCAAAAAATGTTTCTGAATCCAATATTTCAACACTTATAGTTAATATCACTCATTATACTCCTTTCTTCAGTTGAATGATAATTTTGAATCCTGATTTTACTCAGAGAGTTGATAACTGAAATTTAGTTGAGTTATTAAATGCTCAAATTATCAAATTATAAACTTTATAATAATTACCTTAAAAAAATGTTCTCAATCAACTTAAATTGACGTGCTTTCACCTTCTTTCCATCTTAATAATTGTAAGAACTACTGAAAAATAAAATGAAAGAACAAAATGATAATCCTTGCCTACACATTATTAATCAGAACTAATTTCATCCTAGGATAATTTTTATTGTAGCTAAAAAGAAATGATAAACTTTAAAGATTTGCTTTTCCTCTATAAGAAAAGCCTTTAAATTTTTAATAAACTATAAAAGAACATTTTACAAAAATCTTAGGCCAAATGGATTTAGCTCGCATGATATTGATAGCAATCTACTCTAGTTAGGTGGCACCCTATCGAAGGACTGACATATTCTTTGACTAGAGCAAAATAAACAAGTCTTATCTTACACTAACATATTCACCATGAAAATCGATTTCTGGAACATATGCTCACTTAAACCTCTGATTCTCCATTACATGAAAACATGTGGTCCTCATTTTTTTTGCCTCTCAGAAATTGGGAATAAAAATCTGAAGCCTCGTAGGCTATGCTGCATTTTAACATTTTTGTTTTTAATTTTTACTTTAAACATAATAATATTCTTGAATATAAAGAGAAAATCAATTTTTTAGAGGCTGTTAAAGCCAAATAACTTCTTATGATTTGTGTAGACTTTTATTTCCGTCGAACCCTTTAAAATTTATGACTCACTTGCTTCCGAAAAATCTTTAGAAAATGGTTTCCAGCAGATCATATCTTATCATTGAATTAATTTTTATGATCTCTGTTGAAAATTTAAATTATGATATTGAGTATCTTAAAATTTTATATTCTAATGTATATTTTAAGGATAGTACTACTGATTAAACTTTTTATTTTGATAATAGAGTACCTTAGGGCTCCTGCCTTATTTAATATTTATAAAAAGATCTTTTGATAGTAATTTAAAATTATGAAGTTTTTAATTTGCTGTTGACATTACCGCAATTATTCAGCATAAGGAAAATTCTTGAAAATGGAATATTTTGCTTCAATCATATACAGGTAGTGATATTATGAACTATCATGTAGTTTAAGAATAGCTTATTTATTAGTAGGAAACAATGAAAAATTAAAATAACATTTTCATAGTTGATAACATCAAATATTAATAAAAAGTGATTAGAGAAATTTATTACCAATATTAAACATTTAGGAATTTTTAGTACAAAAATTATTCTTCAAATTAATCAAATTTATTTATTTGACAATTTTAAGAATTGTATCTGTTGATCAACATTAAAATAGTTTTTCACTTTTCAAATTTCAGAAGCTCGTTTGAATTTATTTTTCTTAATAAAGGATTGACCAATAGGATTTTAACTGGTTCTAATTGTAAAGATAATGGTAAAATTAGTAAAAATAATAATTAATGTATATTTCTATAAAAAAAATCAAGTAATTCAAAATTATTCGAACTTTAAACTTTAATTCTAAAGATCATTCATGGTATTTTTTTATTATGAGAATTCGGTTAGTCATCAAAAATAAATATGAGATCCAAAAATAAGATGGCAAATAGATTGAATCAGTAGTGTAAAATTAATATAACATTTTTTCAGCCCTCTAAATTTACAATGAAAGACTAAAGTTCCTTATGGTATTTTTCATGTTTATAACAATTTAGGCTCTAACAATACTTTCAAGTTGAAGATAATTGCTAAAAATTAAATTTACATTTTTAATTAAAATACATAGATTTGAGTCATTTATCTTTAAATTTGAAGTTTAATAATTTTTTTCATTTAGCTTAGTAAAATTGAAGATATCTCATGATATTTTCTTGTATTTGATCAAAAATACAATTCAGGTTGAAATAATAGTGGCAACTGGATAAATTAATAGTGCGAAATCAATTAAAAGATTTCAGTCATCTAATTTTAATTTTGATGTCGAATATTTTTTCAATTTAGCTGAAAATTTAAATAGGCGTTAATAATAACTAGGTATAAAATGGAGACAGCTTTTCCCATATATAAACTTATAATTTATAAAAAGCAATAACTTCTTATTAGTAATACAGATTCGATTAAGCTTTTCATAAATTAGCAACAAAAGATGTTTATTAAATACGCAAGCTATAACATTAAAACATATATATTGCAAATTTAATTCAATGTTTTATGTTTGAAATAATAATAAAGCAAGTTGTAAGATTAGAATCTCTATACTCACAACATTAATTTGATATTGTTATGAAAAAATTATTTTTACCTCAATAATAGTAGCGAAAACTTGAAACATTAAAATTATTAGAATCGTTAAGATGTTTCCTCAAATATAGCCAAAGATTTGTTATATTAATAGTGTGTGAGTAGTTATAAATTTTTTGACACACCTTTTTTCTAATTTTTGGGACATTTTCAAATTCACAAATCCGGTTGTACCTAAGTTCGATAATTCTTCCAATTTCATATCCCAGCCAAGACAGCTGATATATGATATTGGATTTGCCTAGCCAAGACGGTCGGAATATGTCCATACGTTTATGGGATGTTAAGATAGGATAATAAAGAGCCAAATTGGATTGTTATTCAGGAAAATTCTATTCAGTCAATTTCTCTCCTGATGGTACCACATTAATATCTTACTAATTTCTGAGAAATATCTCTTATTTTGAAGTTCTATTTTTGCATTGACTTTACATATTACTATTAGGGTTGAACAAGTAGGATTAGTGATACAATATCCAGCTGAACCTAAATGAGAGCAAAAGAGTTCATCAATATCAAAGAGTCTCCTTTGTGATGGATTCATTTAATTGTCTACTACATTTTTATAAATTTTTCCAGTTAGTAAGAAGATGATTGATATATATTTGGTGGTATCTGCTTTACTCTTTTCTATTTTATTACATTTTATTAATTTTTTTTTTTTTCATTTTTAATTTTACATTTCAATAATTTATTTATTCTAATATTTTTTTTTTTCCATAAACTATTTTTAATTTTTTTCTACTCATCCAATTTTTACAACACCATATCAAATTACCAATTTATTTTCATTTTCTTTCTTTTTCTTTTTTTCTCCTTACTCAATTTTTTTTTTTCATTTCCAAATTTCACCCTCCCACCCCCCCT